CGGAAAATTTTCATATAATTGTTCGCGCCAATTTTGATTTCCAGCGATAAATCTTTAAACTGATGATGTCATAATGACTTTAGTAGCATTGTGACTCATCAGGATTTCATATTATTCTTGCAGAATTATCTTACTCCAACATAATTAAAACCTCAGAAATTATTTTATATACCAGTATAATAAAACGCTTGACAGGAACTACTACCCTCGTGCAAGCCCTCGGGGAATAGTTCTCTGGCGCGGGTTTGATAAAAGAGCTATCCCACTCACACCCAGTGGATAAGTGTATAATATTTATGACTCTGCACATTCATTTTGTTCTAGGCATTTTTTCACCGACAGCAATATGTATTGATGGACGACAATTTATGCAGTAAAGGTAAGTACACATTGTCGTCAACGACACAAATGACGTGTTTTGCTTATTTCCAAGTATATATTACAGACCTTTATATACAGAAAAGGACATTCTGACATATTAAATCAAAAGTATTTAAATACAATATGGTGAAGGGGATGGGGATAACGAACAGTATTCAATATCAAAGTCTATCAAACAATACAAACCGTTCACGGTAGCTCAGTCGGTAGAGCGCTCGCTCCGTGATCGGGAGGTCGTGAGTTCGTACCTCGGCCGCGACTGACCTGGTCGTTAAAGTGGGAAGCAACTGTTCCTTCGCCATGCCCTCGGGACTTTGAAGGGAAAGTTGCGGGTCCTTCGGATGAGACCTTAAAAACCGAGGCCCCGTGTCAGCGGCAGGCGTTGGCACAATAAAGATCCCTCACTGCTCAATGGCCCTGAATGCCGAGTAAAGGTCAAAATTTGAAGCCCTTCACCGGCATACGGTGACGTTTCCATATGAGTGAAAAGTTCTCGAAAGGGACGTTAAACAATATACATCAATCAATCAATCAAACAATACAAAATAGGAGCAGAGCAAACACGGACCTCCAAAACATCAGCTGAGGTGTGATCAGGAGCCAGGAGGAGTAAGCATCCCATGCCGACCGATCACACCCGCCGTGTCTTAATCGGGAAATAACGAAAAATCCGTCGTAAATTCAGATTGTATAAACAATGAACTAACGGTAAGTATAAAAACGTCTGTCAGCATTTGACTCAATGATAAATTGTATTTGCTGACAAGGTCATAGTATCGACCACAGAACTTACGAAATGAAGACTTTAACGAGACTTCTTGAATATATGGTCGCACTGTACTTTTGAAGTATTTTTCATTCACTACTGTCAATGTCGTAGTGAAGAGTAAAGAAAGAAGCTTGGTTGAACATTTATTGGAACCCTCAGTGTATCTTGGTAAGAATTCTTATGAAGTTTCCGAATCCAATATGTATAGGGCAGTTCAAATTCATTTTGGTTCTTTGAGATATGTAAAATATTCAAACTGGCAGACGATTTTGAAGAATTTCTTCCTTAGAAAGGGAATTATGATTATAAGTTGGATTTTACCACATGTAGAATTAAATACAATTGATATAATGAGCCTTACAAACGGAGACAATGTTGTTACCTGCTGTGTCAGCAGGAACCAGTACGTAGTTATCATGTAATCTATCTGTTTCTTTTTCATTTCTGGATTACCGGTATTTAGAATACAGAAGGATAGATGGTTTTCATATTGCTCCTCAATCTTTTATTACGCGATTTTAACATGGAGACGGTACATTTAACGTCTATTTTGACAGTGTTGCTCAGAGAAGTTCGGATTCAATGTTGTGTAGTGTCTGATCACAGTGTAGATTAAAAAGTTGAAGTTTTAATATGCTACATGGTGTATATTTAAAGTGAAGATCACGGATAAAATTAGATAAAATGTTATGTCGAATCAAAGTTTACGATACAGAAATTAGAATAATGTTTTCATTTTGACAGTGACATTTCTTTAATTTGCGTGGAAAGAATCTTTGCTATAAGAATTATCACTAAGATAATAAAAAACAAGATGTGAACACTGATGCCCCCGTATGGCAATAATGCAAAGATTAAAGTTTTCTTAACTGGAAACTCAATACAATACAATTCTGAAATATAAAAGTAGGCCAGGTTAAAGTTTTTCTATAAGTACAGAAATCTCCAAAGTAAAGGTCAAAAGATTAAGGTAATTGGTATCCAATGAAAGGTCTTACCACAAAAAATACATATGTGAAGTATGGAAGCCCAAGCCTTAATCCTTCAAGATTTATTACCAAGGTTAAAAATCTTTAAAAATAGGTCAAACTCCATTGTCAAATGGAAGGTCTTGCCACAAGGATTAAATATGTAAAAATAAAAGTATGATAGCACTAGTCCTAACCATTGTAAAAATAGGGTCAAGATTTGCTTTTTAAAAGTAGGTCAAACTCCTAGGTCAAAAGGTCAAAGTTCTGTATCCAATGTATAATTTCGCAAAAATTACACACGTGGAAAAGTTATGGCCTAGGTTAAAGTTTTTTCTGACATCGTCAAGGTTAAAACATAAAAGTTTTTGTTATCCAATGAAAGGGCTGTTAACAAAGAATACAAACGTGGAGTACAGATGTCCTTGTATCTACTGTTCAAAAGATATGGCCAAAGTAAAAGTTTGGACATTTTGTGTAAAAGCAGGCCAAACTCCAAGGTCAAAAGGTCAAGTTTTTTGGTAGCCAAGGAAAGGTCTTGATACAAGAAATACACATGTGCAACAAGAAAGTCGTAGATCCACTGAATCAAAAGTTAAGGGCAAGGTTGAAGTTTTTGGGGACAAACAAACAGACACGACAAATACTATATACCCTCGACACTTCGTTTAGGGGGCATAAAATATATTAATTTGAAGATACCTCTAACGTAAAATATCTCGTCTACAAGGAGATTATTGAACTTAGCCTGCAGAAAACCCGTATCTTCAGACATTTAAAAGTAATATTCAAATTGTGACTTGATTATTTAGAGTAAAATTTTCATTATTGATAACCGTTCACGGAAGCTCAGTCGGTAGAGCGCTCGCTCCGTGATCGGGAGGTCGTGAGTTCGTATTTCGGCCGTGACTGACCCAGTCGATAAAATGGGTAGCAACTGTTCTTTGCCATGCCCTCGGCACTTTGAAGTGAAAGTTGAGGGTCCTTCGGATGAGACCTTAAAAACCGAGGCCCCATGTCAGCGGCAGGCGTTGGCATGATAAAGATCCCTCACTGCTCACTGGTCCTGAGTGCCGAGTAAAGGTCAAAATTTGAAGCCCTTCCCCATCATACGGTGACGTCTCCATATGACTGAAAAATTCTCGAGAGGGACGTTAAACAATATACAATTAATCATTATTGATATTTATAAAATCATGATAAACAAAACCTTTCTGAGGAAATTTTTTTCATTCAAATTTACTCTTTTATAAAAATGATTTGGTATTCATTGGGCTCGAACTCTACCAATCAATCAATATACAACCAAACTCTAGCAATAAAATCATTAGCAGCATTCCTATTGATGCTAGCACGCTAACCACTAGACTACACAACTCACGTAATGAAATACGACTTTAAAATTATTTAAATCATGTTTGTTATACGAGCCTCGACTTAGTGGAGTGTAAACCAGTGGACTCCAAGTATTTCTAGAAAAGATGCGATTGTTATGTCATTAAAGTATGTTTTTAATGTAAAGTGGGTCTTTGCTCCATAATTTTGGTAAACAAAAAATGTTTATACATATATATATATATATATATATATATATATATATATATATATATATATATATATATATATATATATATATATATATACCGTATAAGTAGAAATTTTAGCGAGGATTTAATTTCGGCATTATTAGCGAGGCTGTTGAGATCGCTCAAATTGAATATCGCTAAAAATAAATTGAGTGTTATTTGTACTACCTTCTTTAGGGAGTATTTTAAAATCGCTAAAATTACTTCTCGCTAAAAATAAAATACAAGTTTTTAAGGAGAAATCGCTAAATTTGCGTTTCACTAAAATTTCCACTTATATGGTATATATATTTATTTCTTTCTGTTTCTATATCAATATTTCTTCACTTAGGGCAGTTATATTAGTTTAAGAGTTGTTGTAAAATGTGCTTTATAAATAATAATTAATTTCATTACAACGTGTATTGGTAACAATCCTCTGTTAAAACTAATGTCCAAATAACTGTATCTCACTTCTATTCTCAATGACCGTGTAGTGTAGGACAGCGCCGCGAGAATTCCATCGGCATCGAAAGCAAGTTTTTTGACTTGCCTAGAAAACCGAGCGGTCTAGCGCGCTGTTCCTGTACTGCTAGGGGACAGATTCCGAGGGTCGAGAGCTCAACCCTTGGGCTTGGGCGGAAGTGGGTATCCATGTAAATGTGAATTTCTTTGTGCTTTCTATATCAATATTTCTTCACTTTCTCTTTTGATTTTTTTTATTTCATAATTTAAAATCAATTTCTATCGCCCGGTTGAAAATTCAAGTTGTTTCTAAAATAGTTTGTAGTGAGCATGCAAAAGCCATTCTTCCTGACTACCAAATGACTTTAATATTGTGTAAATTTGTATTATAAAAAGGTTCTTCCAGCTTTGTAACGTGAATGTAGAGAGAAGAGAAAATTAAATAAAATGTTCGAAAAATCTTTACCCCGTAAATTTAAGACTGACAAGAAAAAATATTTCCTCACCTCCTTCAATTCTTTCCACTTCTTTTCAAATTCGGTATTGCTAATTGACTGTGGTCCATGACAAATTGAGTTACGACAAATCCGGACTCGTTCCAGGTCATCAGATGGATTTATATCCATGGGATCTGGAGTTCCTCCCCAATCTTGCCTTGGTTTTCTAACTTTTGTCGTTTTTCTTATTATTTTGTACAGCAATGATATGTCAAAACTAGTCGATGCTACTGGCCCATATCCTGTAAAACAAAGGCTAATTAGCAAATATATATGACCATGCCTTGATCCTAAAGGTGTATTGAATTTGGAGCTGCATTTATTAGAAAATCTGCTTATAATTGTTTTTTATTGGTTATATTGAACTGTGTTTATCATCCGATTTTATTGCTTCTATTTCTAGATGAAAAAAGTTTAAAACTAGTTAAATGTCATTTTTCTTTAAATAATTAAATCCAGTAATTTGTCACCGTTTGTATTATTTGAAAACGGAATGTGTTTTATTTTTATTTAAGAGTACTACAATAAAACATTTGAACCTATTTTTGGTATCACGTTAGATCTTAAACATAAAAAAATACTCTCTCAATACAATGTAACATATTAAAATTCTCACCAGGAAATAATGTCGATATTTGTTCAGTGTTGGAATTCTTTAACAGTTTCTTTTCATGACTATTCAAATGATTTTCAAGTTGATCTGCTGGAATAACGGTATCAAACCACATCCTTACTGCCTTTTCTGCGATACCAATGCCTAGGAAATATCGAAGACAATTTTCCTCTTCTTTGGAAACAATTGACTCACCCTCTGTTGTAAACATAAAAAACATTTAATTAAGAGTATCATTTTCATTGCTGGGGACATTAATAATAAATTGCAGGAAAATGTATAATGAATATTTTTATTAATGTTCATGTATAAGACAAAAAGGCAAAACCTTAAATTCATTAAATCCTTATTCAAAGTTGTGAAATTCAAATTCAAACATTCCACTATTTAGATGAATTCTTAAAAATATTATTATAAGTTTGAGTAAAATATTTTGAAATCTTATAAATTTAATGATTTTTTAAAAGGAATTTACGGAACCTTAAAGAAGTTTTAATTCTAAAAATATACACACCAGTTTCGTACTCTGAGTTTTCTGATTGTGAATCTTCTGATTCGGATGAGTTGTTGCTAGAATCCAATTGTGTAGAATCTACTTCTGTATCAGTATCATGCTGAGGTGACTCTTTGTCTGACATTGTTTTTTTTGTATGTCTACTACAATTTACATCCTGAAAAATTTGTCACCCCTTTAAACAAATAATTATTTTAAAAAAACTTAAAAGACTAATTGATAACAAGCTGCCTACATAGCTATGGATCACAAAGTAAGGACCTGATTACATTAGCCAGTTGTTTTTCCTTAGTAACAGATCTTTTCTTTCTTTACTCAAAGAAAGATTATGTATCTGTATTGTGAACCAAACATAGCATTTCATTTTTATTCAAGATAAAATTGCGCTTTATATCAAATTACCTAGTTTTCAATTAATCATGAGAAATTGTTGTATTAAGGATGTACAACACACCTACCCCTAAAAAATCCTGTCGTTTAATTTTCGCTATTTTTGTATATTTAGTACATGACTATATCAGTAGTATAAGGGGTGTAGCCGGGTGGGTCAACTGAGTGCACGTTTGGGGCTGGGGGGATAGGGGGTTCAACAGAGTGCACTTTTGGGGCTGGGGGGATAGGGGTTCAAAACAGTGCACTTTTGGGACTGGGGGGATAGGGGGTTCAAGAGAGTGCACCTTTGGGACTGGGGGGATAGGGAGTTCAACACAGTGCACTTTTGGGGCTGGGGGGATAGGGGGTTCAACAGAGTGCAGATTAGGCGGGTCTGTGGGGGATAGGGGGTTCAACTCAGTACAGTCCTTGGGGGATAAGTGGGTCAATTCATTACATAGTCCCCTAAATACGGGTGTGTTTACACTGTGTTAACATTATACTATATACGCTGCTACTACTACCTGTTGCATCATCTTTTTTATACCTGTTGCATCATCTTTTTATACCTGTTGCATCATCTTTTTATACCTGTTGCATCATCTTTTTATACCTGTTGGATCTGTAAGGACCGTGTGCAAAAAAAATTAGGGTCGTGTGCAAAAAATAGGTTGGACTTACTTTTTGATCGTACTGTGTACGTTTCTGTACACTGTCTAGGCAGCGATCTACCTATGCATTGTGACGTCATAAGCTTGCCAGGGACGTCATGTTAGCCCTTCACAAGCCGCGATGGCTGCTTATTTTGACACAACAATACAGACTTTCACAGCGCTGGAGACTTCATGTAAACAACTATTTCAGTACCAAAACTTCTGAACAGGTGAATCCTGGATCAGCCTAGAAGATATTTCACTGGATTATTTATAGTATGAATAATTCTATACTGAGTAACCGGGTTACCTGGTAAGTTTTAACAAACTTTTCTTCATACATTTTCTATGAAGGTCATATTTGTATTTATCCATTATTACAGTGTTATATACCTAATGTTTATTACATTTATATAAACACTGCACTTATTTACCCTAAAATACTCTAGGAAACTAAGAGATTCTCAAAATGCTGATAAATCTTTTTGCTTGATTTATGATTATATTGTCTCAGATTCCTTTTATCGGATCAGTATTCTAAATATTCTTATGGGGAGACTCATAGCATATCTTATAAAATCCAAATTCTGATACATGCCTTTACAATAAATAAAGTGATATTCTCAGTTGTTATTTCTAATATATCTCTATGAATCTTTTATCACAGTGACCAAAAGAATGATATGGAGATAATCACTCAGATCATATTATGCCAATAAATCTTTTCTCTTAGATAGATCTTTTTTAATGAAATAAACAGAATCTTTTAGTTTTCTTTGTCACTCATACTTTTACATTCTGGTGCAACAGTGGCCCAGTGAAAGTGGGAAAAACTCAGTCTGAGAATCTCTGTAAATTTATAACATGTGTGTCCTCCCCCTTTTTAAAACCTTCATGTATATACAACGCATTCCAAAATCAAAACAGAAAATCTTTTTTTCTGTTTTAAGCATTTTGCCCTTAGGTATTGACAAAACTCAACAAATAACACAGTTTACAAGATATTTATTGGTGCAAATACTAAAAGTTTAAAGAACGCAAATCATCGTTTACATAGCTAGTTTTATGGAGTAAATTTCCTCCCAAAAACTATCACTGAAAACAGTTTTCACTACCACATTACAATTTGAAAAAGACAAACATCTACAGGGTAAATTTCCTCTCAAAAATGACTCTGAAACAGTTAACATTCAGTAGTCAATTTAAAAGCGACTATCCATGATTAAACAAAATTTTACGGAGTAAATTTCCTCCCAAAGAATATCACTGATAAAGTATTCACTACAACAATTACAATTTGAAAATAGCAAAAATCTAAGAGAGTAAATTTCCTCTCTAAATGCACATTGGTGCATTGTACATTCATATTTCAATGCCAAATCAACCATCGTTTACATTGCTAGATTTTACGGAGTAAATTTCCTCCCAAAGCTTTTCACTAATACAGTGTTCACTACTAACATTGCAAATAAGTTCCTCTCAAAAAAAATCTACAGAGTAAATTTCCTCTCTAAATTCACGTCAGTGCATTGTACATTCAGTATTTCAAAGCCAAAGAAACCATCGTTAACATAGCTGGATTTTACGGAGTAAATTTCCTCCCAAAGAATATCACTGATACATTGTTCACCATTACATTTTAAAGTAGAAAAAAATTCTACGGAGTAAATTTCCTCTCAAAATGCACGTCGCTGCATTGTACATTCAGTATTTCAAATCAACCATCGTTTACACAGCTAGATTTTACGGAGTAAATTTCCTCCCAAAGAGAATCACTGATATAGTGTTCACAACTACATAACAATTTGAAAATAGCAAAAATCTAGAAGAGGAAATTTCCTCTCAAAAAGACATTCATACAGTAAACATATAGTAGTCAATTCAGAAGCCACAACCATTTATAAAGCAAAACTTTACGGAGTAAATTTCCTCCCAAAGAATTTCACTGATACAGTGTTCACTACTAACATTACAGTTTGTTATTAACAAAAATCTACAGAGTAAATTTCCTCTCTAAATTCACGTCGGTGTATTGTACATTCAGTATTTCAAAGCCAAATCAACTATCGTGATCATAGCTAGATTTTACGGAGTAAATTTCCTCCCAAAGAATATCACTGATACAGTGTTCTCTACTATCATTATAGTTTGTTTATAACACAATTTACAAAGCTAGATTTTAAATTTCCTCTCTAAATTCACCACTACATTTCAAAATAGAAAAAAAAATCGGTACGTTGCATTGTACATTCAGTATTTCAAAGTCAAAGAAACCATCGTTTACACAGCTAGATTTTACGGAGTAAATTTCCTCCCAAAGAATATAACTGATATAGTGTACACAACTACATTACAATTTGAAATAGCAAAAATCTAGAGAGCAAATTTACTCTCAAAATGACATTCATACAGTAAACATACAGTAGTCAATTCAAAAGCAAATAGCCTTTATATAACAAAACTTTACGGGGTAAATTTCCTCCCAAAGAATTTCACTGATACAGTGTTCACTACTAACATTACAGTTTGGTAATTAAAAAAATCTACAGAGTAAATTTCCTCTCTGTAAATTCACATTGGTGCATTGTACATTCAGCATTTAAAAGCAAATCAACCATCGTTTACATAGCTTGTAGATTTTACGGAGTAAATTTCCTCCAAAAGAATATCACTGATATAATGTTTACTACTACAATTACAATTTGAAAAAAAAATCTACAGAGTAAGTGTCCTATCAAAATGACATTGATACAGTGTATATTTCCTCTCTTTAAAAATGATAGCACTGATACACATGTACAGTTTTCAACATATCTATAAAACGTTAACATTTTCAAGTTAACAAAAGCAGAGTAAATTTCCTAAAAATCCATTGATATAATATTTGAAAGCCAAAGCAACCATCGTTTACATAGCTTTACGTTTACGGAGTAAATTTTCTCCTAAAGAATATCACTGATACAGTGCTACCTACTAACATTTACAGTTTGAAAATAGCAAAAGTCTACAGGGTAAATTTTTTCTCTAAATTCACACTGGTTCATTGCAAATTCGGTATTTCAAAGCCAGAGCAACCATCTTTAATATACTAGATTTTACAGTCATTATTCTCAGTAAGAAAATAAACATTATATATAGAAAACAGCAGAACATCAGAGGGTTAATTTCCTCTAAAAATAAAACAATATACACTTTTTACAGGAAAAAAACATACATGTTACATCTTCTTGAAAAAAGACTTTCGAGGGACATTTTTATCTCAATATACTAATGATGTAATACATTATTTTTAAATCTATAAATAAACAACATATAATCCATACAAACGCATACAGTTTTTTGACTGATTTCAAGCCGTATTCAACGAGCGCAGGGGGTTCAATGTGCATGCAGTAGCATGTTGACGTCACAAACAATATTCAAAGTACGTTGAAAACTGTATTGTCCAGTCTATATCCGAGAAGGAAAAAGGAAAAGGGGGCAAGTCCCTCTCTTGATTATTGTCGAACAATTTGATTTCAAACACATCTATCACATTTACTTTCTTTGACCGAAGCTCCACTTCTATGCTTTCCTTATGGCTTATGCAATTGAACACTTGCTGAATGCATTTCCAACATGTCCAAAAGAAATCTGGCCGCCATATTCTGAACAAATCCATAGTTGACCTATTGATAAAATTTTTAGACTCGTAAATCATCTCATATATATAATTGTTTTTAAACTTTCAATTTTTCAAAACCCATGGGCATTTATTTCTTCAGGCATGCCGGGTTACATGTTGTGCACCATAGTCGAGCAGTGGTGCTTGCACAATTTTTGTAAAATCAAAAAATAGTCTTTCCGTTGGTTTTTCGTATGGAAATTTCATTTATCTAAAGAACACGTACATATACCCCCAGTCTACACACATATTTAGACAAACTAAGACAAGATAAATTTTATTTGAGGATGATGTCAATTTTCTTATATAAAACAAGATCATATACTATTGCATTAATCACGATTTTGCATTCAGATTAGTTCAGACAGGACATATGCAATTAAGACACTAATTACTAACGCCTTAAATTGAATTTTAAAAGGGGAGTTCAGAGAAAAA